TTTAATCTTTTTTATAGCTTCAGAAACTTCCCTTATTGTTATGGGTCCATTCATAATCTGTTTCTGTCCCTCTGTAATCCTTGGTAAATTTGGTTTCTTTAGATATTCATCTATTTTCTCCAGAGGGATGCCACTTCCTTTATACGAGATGGAATAATATTGATGAAGTGCTTTTCGTATAACCATGCTATCCATTCATACAGTATCTCCCTCTTATAGTTTCAATATCATTTTCTTTTCTTTTTCTTTTCCTAATTTATATGCCAGCCACTTCCCTGGTTTGTTTGCAAACTCAATTTTTTTTTTTTTTTTTGGTTTTCCTTTTTTTTTCCCTTTTTTTTACTGTTAACGCTGATAACTGTCATTGCAAAAACTTAATTTGTCGAGAAATACTTATCTTCTCTAGAAATTTCTTTAATTCTTCTTACAGGATTAGGAAGAAAAACTCACAGGATTATGACCCAAAAAAATATTTGGTAGTATCTCTACTTTAAAAAATGAGGCTTGTGCAAACTTTGTGTCCATATAGGCTGCCTTACAGCTGTGAGCTTGGTTGAAATCCCTCGATTCCCAGCCGCTCCACTCCTGAGCCGATTGCAAAAACCTCAGTTCCTGCAGTCAACTCACAAGGAGCAGCTGTCTGGAGTGTAGGTGGGCAATCTCACGATCTCTCTTTTATCTGGAAAGATGCACCAGCCAGAGTTCACCATCCGGAAACCAGTCTCTGCCGCACTGCTGTCCCTGCTCCTTCAGGGATGTCTAGTCTGCCATAAGTCCTCACTGGAAGCCCTCCTATTCACTTCAATTCAGAGGTAAATGTTACCATGGCTTTTCCCAAACGAAGCACCTTTTAAATGTGTGGACTTCACTTCCCAGAACTCTGAGCTATTGAGATACTAGTTGGGGAATTTTGAGAGCTGAAGTCTACACATCCTAAAGGTGCCCAACTCAGTGAAGTCAATGCAAAGCAGTTCAAAAGCATTTCTTTCCCCAGTAAATATATAGTGGATGAAAACCTTATGGCAGTAATACCCTGTAACAGATATGTATAGAAAATTGGGGCCTTATTCTGCAACGCAGTAGGTGCAACCCACTAAACTAATTATGACTTAGTGCTTAATGGAGTATGAACTTGCACATGTATACATAAATAATGTGGTGGGGCTGCCCTTCTGTCTCCCCCCAGTGTGTATCCGTAAGATTTTCTTCTTCAATTCTTCCCTTGGTACCCTCCTACAATGGGAGGGGGAATCTGTTTGGTTGTTGCCATAATCCACTTTTTACAGAGGAAATTCCTCTGTGAAAGGAGGAAGCAGGCAGAAAACCTCTGCTCCTAGCTTTCTTGCCTTTCTGTAGCTAGCAGAATGGGCAATATGCTTGATCAATTAAATGCCTTGTAGGAATAGGATTTCAGAAGAAGACGCAAGTTGTTTGTTATGCAAATTAAGGTTACAGAGCTAGTAGAGAACTGAATGGAAAAAAAGGGAAAATAAAATATCAAGGCTTTAACTCACAGGTAGTCTTCCAGAGATCCATACACACACCCACACATACAATACAGGTAGAACAAAGATGATTAAGGATACAAAGAAACAGCTCAGATCAGTCCATAATATATATTATTAATAATATAAAATAAAATAAAAACACCCAACAATCCTAATCACATCTAGCTTCATATTTTTCTAGATGGCTATTTACTTCTTCAGACTGGGGCACATTTTTTACCTAGCTGAATTCAGTTGCAGAAGAAATGCCTTTTCCTCCCAGGATGGAAGGCAAAATAATAAAAAGAAAATGGAGGCTGTCCTTTTCAAAAGCTCATCTGAGAGAGAGACAGAAGATTTGCAGCTCCTAAGTGCACAGAGGGTGAATTCCCCAGGCTTTGCTGGTCTCTGCAAACAATCTAGATTCTCCCCTTACCTAAAAGTGCCTTGTGCACACCAGCCATTGTGCTTTCTAAACCACCATGATTGGAGCTTAGTGGAATGCACAAATCCAGTTAATGTGTAATTGATTAGAATTCAAATCAAGGAGCATTGAGGATGCAGTTATTTAATAGGTAAATGCCATAATGTAAATGCTATTAATAAAGCAATACTTTTGATTGGTAAGATTAATTAAGTAGACACTTGCTAGTATTTTGGAACTACTTTGAGTCTAGTGCATCAGTATGCTCATACATTTTAATTTCTGCATTGAAAGTTCCTTTTTTTTAACAGAAGGATTTTCAGGACCCTGATATGAATATTTTTATTACCCAAGTATTAAATAGGTTTCTCGAAACTTCATCCAAGCCCTAGACAAAAAAAGTGGGCAGAAAAAAGTGTCCCTAATATAAAAGCGATCTTTGCTATTTGTGTCTGATTTGCAGTAAATACATTTGCATTGCTCACCTGTTTATGAGCGTGGTCATAGGAGTTGATGTGATTGTCAAATTCTTGATGTTTGTAATACTGTTTATCACAAAGTTCACAATAAAAGTTAGCTTTAAGGTCTTCCAGAGCCTTGGCTATCGTATTCTCCTTTTCAGCATAATCCTATGGAGAAGAGATGGGGAAAATAATTGTTATTTTGATACTGCAAAGTAGAGGCTTTTGTGCTTTGTAATTTAATCCAATTTGTCAACACATATAACTAAAAGCCTGCACATACTCATTTTATCAGCAGTGAGAAAGAGATCTTTTTTGCACTCTTCAATTTGCACTCTAATTGACAGATAACTTTAGGGTTTTTGGGAGACACGAAGCTTAAACTATTTTTAATCTTATGAAAATGTAAATAAATAAACTGAATATTTATTTTGCTTAAGGCTATATTAATGTTAATTTTCAGGAGATAAACACACAGATACACAGACATACATCAACAGTCAAAGCTTTCACTGAATAAATATGTTTTAGCAGAACACATATGGATATTAAAATACTCATTTAATTTTGTTATAAGGCTGCTTTCACTGAACAATAATAAACAATTTATTGCACAAATAAGGGAAAAGAGATAATTAAGGCTAGGTCTGAATAATTATTTATTTTGACATTCAAAAATTTACCTGCCATACGCTCAATGTCTTGGCTGCCATTGACAGGGACAAGAGACAAATGCTCAACTACTGGGCCTTCAATGCCAGTGGAAGTATTTAAAATATGCTTGCCCTTTATCTCATCCCATATCATACCTGATGTTTCCTACTGTAGGTGGCATCAAGTCAAGCTCAACTCCTAGCAGCTATGAGGAAAATGGTTCTTATCTTGACCTGTCCCCAGCAATCATCCATAGCTCTATGAATTCTCTGATTATAAAGCAACTCTCTTTCTTCTGCCTCCTCAACCTTGCCAAGCATTCCCATTTTTTTCCTAATCTATCACCTGGTTATAACATGTCCGAAGTATGTGACGTTTTGTTTGCTGATTGTTGCCTCAAGGAAGTATTCAGTCTTTATTTGTTTTGGGATTGATTAATTTGTTCATCTTATATTCCATGGTACACTTAGTAACATTCTCCAGATCCATAACTTGAAGGCACCTACCTTCTTTTTCTTGCTCTTTCTCAATGTCCACTTTCAGAGCTGAACATTAACAGTGGAAAACATTGCTTTAACAATTTTGATGTTTGTTATCATGGAAATATCCTTATTATAATCCTCCTCATGAGGATACTTTTTTTTCCCTCCAGCACACTGACCATCTGAAACCAAGAAAACAACCTACCTACCCTGTTCACTTCTTTACAATCAACTGCAAGGTCAATTAGCATGTTAATTAACATTATTCTTGTATTTTTAATATTTAACAGTAACCCACATTTTCATTTTTTCACTTTCATTATGAAATCCTTTAAGTCTTCTTAATCTTTTGGCTAACAAAATGACATCATCCTCAGAACTTAGATGTTAATACTTCTGCCTCCTATTCTGATTCCACAAATCAGCACTTCCAATCCTGCTATTTCTTATGATACATCTATTGCACCAGCTAAAGAGATATGAGGACAATATGCATCTCATTCATTTCCAAATGCTAAACTACTTTGTTTCTCCAGGCACAGTTCTTACAGTAGCTTCTTGTTCAATGTAATGGGTTCTCAGAAAAATAATCAGGTTTCTTAGGCTTAATATATTAGGCATTATCTATACAATCAATGGCCTTTCTATAGTCAATAAAGCAAAGGTAAACCCTCTTCTTAAGCTCTCCATTATCTACTTGCTAGCTATTTAGTCCCACATCCCTCTGCCTTTTTGTAACCTGAATGTTCACACTTCATTTCTTTTTCCATGCATGGCCCTATTCTTTTTTATAAGGACTTCAGCAGGATTGGCTTGTTTGAGGGATTAATGCACTGGTTTGGCAATTTGCTCATTCCATTCTATATTTTGCCTGTGTGTTTGCCATTTCTCACTAGAAGGATATAAAAGCTACTGTGATATATGCAGCTGTTGGCTGAACACCAATTGATGTGTGTATATGCATGTATATGTATGTGTGTGCGTATATAGCCTCTATAGAACAAAAAAGGGAATCATTCTAGTGTTCTACTATAAACTACCTGGGTACTCAAAATAATCCCTCTGAATCCTATAGTAACAACATCAGTTAGAATCAGAGGCCATGCTGCTTTCTACCATCTTATCTATGTTAAAAAAAATGATCAAGGAGTGATTTTTAAAGAATACACACATTTTTGAAAATTACCAGAAAAAACAATAGGAGCAATGCATTTAGCCTACCTACCTTATCAGCTGCAAAGAAGAAAACATAGCATGATTCAGCCCATAAGACACAGCAAAACAAAACAAAAAACAACTTCCACAATGCTTTCCTTGCTATCGGCTTGAGCTTCTATCTTTTCCTAATGCATATGTACAATATACACTTCTGCATTTGATCACCTGCCAAGAATGTCAAACAAAAGCAATACTGTATACTACTTTCATTAATAACGTCCTTAAAATCTCAATAATATTATTAGGAATTATCATGAAATACGTAAGAACTTTTGCATTTGTCTAATGGCTATAGCTTTTAAAGGAAAGCACAACGCAAATTGTAAGAGCACACACAAAAAGCAACCAATAAACTGTCCATTACTCATAGTGAAGAATAAAAAAGTAGTAAACATACGTATCTACTAGGCAGGCATGCAGTTGAGACAAATCTTCATGAACCCTTAAGGTTGGCATTGGCCTTTCAGAATTGTCCCAAAATTCAGATATGGTGCTCTGTTTGACACAACAAGCAGCAGCAGATCCTGCCTCTGACATGCTATGCTTTTTCTTCTCACTCCTTCTTTACTCATCTGATAAGCGCATGGATGAATTCACTCCTTCCTACTTTACTAGCTCTGCTGGAAGTTTAAAGAAAAAACCCAATGGTAATTTAGTAAGTCTACTAGGTTGCAAAATTCCAGATGACTACTCAATGGCAGTATATTTCTTTCTTTCCATTGAATGGTCATCTGGATTTTTGCAACCCAGATCTGGTAGTCTTACATTTACAACAAGCTAATCGCAGGTCTGGAACCCTTGGAAGAACCTTGTTAGAAACTGCTTCATTTTTGTCTGAAGCTTGGAATAAAAAGAGCTTACATGGTGGGGGAGGAATAGGCAGGTGGGGGGTGTTTGAAGAGGAGTAGAGGAGGCAGTCTCTTACCTTACCAAGGCTCAGGGCTGGGAGGGAACAAGCCGGGAATGGCTTGGATCAGGGTGGGTCCTTGCCTAACAACTGGGTGGGATTGGGACTGCCATTGCTAAGCAATGTGGTCATGTGACATTGTGCTCTATGACCACATTGTTTAGTGACAGAAGTTCCAATCCCAATTACTGTTGTTAACTGAGGACTACTTGTATAAGGAATGTGGAAGGACAGCTCTAGATGTACTGCAGACCTCCATATCCTTGGTTATCTCCAGTTGCTGTTAGAAAAGGGTAGGTATATGTGTCAACCACAGCTCAAAACCAGCAATTTTCTATAGCTATTTTTATTATGTCCTTTCTTGAGACACAAATGGCTATGTTCAAATTATCCTACTGCTCTAATGCTGGGAAAGGTAGAAGGAAAGAGAAAAAGAGGATGACCAGTAGCAAGGTAGATGGACTCAGTTGCAGCAGCTATGGATGCACTGTTGGAAGATCTGAAAGACCAGGTTGGGGACAGATCTTCAAGGAGGAAATTTATTTGGTCACTAAGAGTTGACACTGACTTGATGGCACATAATCAATCAATCAATTTTTATTATGGCTGGGAAGCATTTCTAGATTGGCGTGCATCTCACTGAAATTCTGCTACTGATAAGAACAAAATGTTGTTTTTATACTGAATAATGTAATTAAACAGCCAAATTAATTATCACAATGCATTGAACTGTTATATTAAGTTTGGTCCTGTCAACCTTCTCAGGGCACTGTACATCAATGCCCTAATTAAATGTGTTTATTAAATTACCTGTGGAATGTAGCAAATCTCACAACACCGAAAAAAAACAAAAAACCCAGAAATAAAAATAAAACAAAAACTCTCCCTGTTCAATATTATTCATGCCATTTCCAAATAAACTGCATTTTGAAAAGATGAAAAATGACTGATGACTGCTTGATTCCTGAAGTGAAGACTTGTACAAAATTCTACAAAATTCTTAAGGACACTCCCTGAGAATGATTCTTAAAAAAGCATTTTGAGAAATAAAAACCCTGAAACCAACCAACCATCCATAGTTTTAACAATGCTTTAAAAAGCCAATTCAATTTTATATAAAAATAATTCTTACTAAAGTTTCCATGGTGGTGGGCCAAGGAAAAATGATTATCATATTCTGGTTATCAAGCACATGGTGCATCACCTGTAGCCCCCACAAAGTCTTATATGAGAAATATTTCCAAAAATTAATCTGACAGGAAGGGAAATTATTAACTACATATGAAATAACTATGTAAAAACCATACAGTTAAGGTAAGACAAGTTTAATTGAAGTCAATTCAATCAAATTTAGCTTTACTTCCCCTTTGCTGTTGGCCTACAATTCCACTCAAAGGCCTTGAGTGGCTGTCAGCCCCAAAAAGATTGGATAACCCTGGTCTATTAGAGAGCACAAGAGTCTTTAGTTTTGTTTTTCTTGTAACAGAATTATATTTGAACAATGTTCATGGCAGACCTGATTAAGGAAAACTAATGCTACTCTTCCACCAGTGTGGAAGCCGAATATGGCTTTAAATACTAGAGTGTTGTGTTAATAAAATGGATCTGCTAACCAATTGTACTAATAAAACCAACTGGGCTAATAAAATGGATATTTTCTGATGGCTCCTTTGCTTCCTCTTATCTATCCTCAAAAATATTATAATTGTACACATATGCTTGTTTCCAGCTTAAGGTTCTATGTTACTCAGAACAAAAGATAATCCACTAACAGGACCTAGACTTCATGAAAGTCACCCCCAGGCCTATTTAAATAATATGCGGACAAACATTTCAGCTCCAACTGCAAAGTCTGCATTGTTAAAATGAATCATTATCCTGTTTCCAGCATACCGCCTTACTCAGAG